TGGACGAGCGCCTTTTGAAATCCACATCTAAGCAATCAGGACCGTCAAACTACCCCTACGACCCCCAATTAGTCCCGCAGACAAGGTGAACTCGCACTCAGGCAATGGCAGGTCTTACAGCCAGGACCACGGGGCTCAACGAAATTCGCCAGGATCAGAACTTGCCCGCGGCTTCACTGAGTGACCACGAACGGGTGCCAACCGCGAAGTCCGCCTGGATCCGAACTTGACAGCGATTGCTGCGTGTCGATCCAGAGCAAGACACATTTTGTTTTTTATGCGGGCCCTGCGATTGGACTGCTTTTTGCGGCAACGCCAACCGAAGGACAGTCATGTAGCCAGGACTCTCAAAAGACCCCTACAAACCGTCAACGCGACAGATTCGATTTTTGTCATATCGTGCGCCGGCACTGGAAGTATGAGATTTCAGCGATGCAGTAGAAACAGCGCACGTTTGCAGGAACACGACAATGATCATCTGAGCAGCTCGCAACTTTGCATGCACCAGATCGCAAGTCCCCTGGGATTCGAACTTCGTGTTATCGCCCTCGCACGGTGACAACTGGCAGGGCGTTCGGAGCTATCGACCCCACCCCCGAAAGTTGGAAACCCTGTCCCGCAGAAGCTAGTCGTCAGGGCAATGGGGGACCCCATTGTAACTGCAAGCGCGAAACCAACAACCGCCAAACAGAAAACGGCGACTCGCGTGTGAATGCCTGGCGAAAAGGGAAGTTCGGATACCGGCAAACTACAACAATCATGCGTTGTGCTCTCACGGGCGCGTGCTCTCCCCACGGCCACACGACGGGAACACAATGGCACTTTCGTGAGAACACAACGCATGATTGTTGTAGTTTGCCGGTATCAAAACTTCCCTTCTCGCCAGGCAATCACACGCGACTCGCCATTTTTTGGTTGGCGGTTGTTGGTTTCGCGCTCGCAGTCACAATGGCGTTCCCCATTTGCCCTGATGAATAAGACGTTTCCCGGAGGAGGCCGGGTTGTTCGTTATTTAACGAGGCCATCCTTTCGTGTTGAGGTTCTCGTCACGAAACACGCGGCGCTCATGCCGAAGAAACGACATCATCATTGCAGCGAGCGGTGGTGTCGTTCTCCATCGCGTGTACACAGCGTGTGCATTCTTCGTCCTGGAGCCCACGGATGTCGTGCGCACAGTCCTGGCATTTGTCGTACACAATGTGGTAGCGCGTCCCTCACGACCAGCACCATGAGAGAGCGCTCAACATCCATGGCCTCTTGGGTGGATCATATGCACGCTGCGTGCGCGGGATGGAGACGACACCAGCTCTCCGGGGATTGACGCCATAGTCTCTTCGAGGAGAGAGGCACAAGTGTTGTGGCGAGAACATGAACACGGAACCACGACCTCGTCCCGTTGATGAATACCATCCCTCTCACGCGCCCGCCAACGTCAGCGCAAGAAACAGCCACTGCACGCCACGTGGATGGTCAACATCCTTCGCACGAGGGCCACTGCGCGATGCTTAACACCAACCGTGGTCGGTGTCAGCCCATGTGGCACCCGCTTATCGTCCACCACACCCGCCGCGACGACTGTCTCTCCTGCTCGCGGAGTTGGCCCCGCGACGGATTCGGACCATCAGTCATGGATTTGCAGTCCAATGCATCACCTTTGTGTCACCCAACCTTTGATTTGTTTGATGAAAAAAATAAACATGCGAGGCAAGGAGTTTTTTTCCACTTTCCAAAAAGGCAAATTCGTGTTTGACTCAACCACGTGGGAGTGTTTTGCAATGTTCAGTTTGGCAACAAATGGAGTAAGCAACGACCCTGTTCACATCATTTTTTGATATCTGTGTAGTTGCCGCAAAACAGGAACGCAATGCAGTTAGAAGTCGTCTGGTCGATCGCAGGGATCGAACAAGTGAGAAGAAAAGGAAACATAGAAACCATGTGCCCCAATGCCAAGCCAAGCAGGAATCATGGGGCCAATCGCGAGGAACGAACGACTGAGAAGAGAAGGAAACACAGAAACCATGTGCCCCGACGCCAACCCAAACAGAAATCATGGGGCCGATCGCGACGAACGAACGAGTGAGAAGCAAAAGGGAACACAGAAACCATGTGCCCCAATGTCATCGACAGCCGTTCCCACCGTCCCCGCCATCAACGCGATGACTATCATGCCCCGGCAAGCATGTGCCCCAAAGCCAACCCCAGCAGTTGTGGGCGACGACTGACACGTGGGCAGGCAGAACACCGCTGTACCTTGACGAGGGCAAAGGGCACACAATGGCGCAGCTCTTCGACGCGGCGCAGTTCTTCGACGAGGCTTACCTCTTCGACGAGGGCAAAGCGCACACGATGGCGCAGCTCTTCGACAAGGGCTTAGCTCAGACGACGGCGGACACTTGCTGGCGCAGAACGCAAAGACGGGATGTCAAAGCTCCGACAACTGAAGTCCATGAGCGGGCAGGAGGACGGGAACGAGGCGAGGACGAGAGGAAACCCAGACGCCCACGCCTGCAGACACTTGGCGCAACAGCCGAGCAGGGAAGGCGATGGAGGAGGTCGCGGACGTGACGTCGCGCGCGAATGCGCTCGTCAGGCAGGAGATGCAAATGGGCTGCACCAGACCCCAGGCAGCTGTTCAACGACACCCAATGCCCGCCATAAACTGTCATCACACCCCACGAAAAGACCCGCCTGCGCGCCAAGCGGCACCCACGTCATGTGAGAAGACGAATGTCGGTCGTCCGATCTGCCAATCGCACGGCTAGACGGTGGCTTCTCTATGGACGCTGGCGCAGCCTCCCC